CACGCGAGGATCGTAAACAATTGTTACCAGCTCTTCGAATTAAATAAATATTTAATTATAAAGCTAACGGCACGTGCCTCTCACGAAATGCAGGACAAATGCAATTGCAAACAACTGTATTGCGTGAGACAGTGAACGATCTACCTCTACTCTATTTATTTATCGTCTCTCGATCACTGCCAATTTTTTTGCGACAGTTCTCGCTCAGTCGTTTTGCGAAGTAAATCAGCCGTAACTTCATGCGTCCGAAACATACCGAGCGGCATTGCTCAAACGTCAAATTAACCACCACGCGTCGGTAGAAGCCATGCAATTTGCCCATAATTGGAAATTCCAACGTTTATTCTTCCTATATCCTAAGTACGCTCTTATAGAATAACCAGAATATAAATGAAGTTACAACTTTTCAAACTAATTGGCGCGAATGTTGATCCAATTATAAGTATTACGGAATGGGGGAAATGTAAAACAATGTGCTTTAATTCATTATTTTGTTAAATGTATTATTTATATTTTACATGTAAAATGTATGCAAAACATTATCACATCATGTTAAGAATTTAGCGTAAAATTTTATAATTCGAAATAAATAAATAAAAGTAATCGATTTGTATTTTTTTCTGAAACTTTCTTAGAAATTTTTATTCAATACATCTCTGACATCAATTATATCTTTCGTCATCACATCAGAAACATTCCAGTTGAATAAATCATTCGTGCTTAAAAATTGAATACTGAAAGGTAGTGATTAATTATTTATTTTAAATATTAAAAGCACTTCAGTGTTTTTAATACACAAAATAAGTAATTTTTAATATTAAATTGGATTTCTGTAAGAAAAATATATTTAAAAATAAGAAATGACAATTTTAAACAGTTTCATGTAAAAGGTAAAAATACCTTTAGAATTTTTCAAGCAGCTGGATGAATGGTAGTTACTTGTAAATTAACCCGTCAGCAAAAGTATATAAGTATATCCTTTTGTAAGTTTTTGGCCAAGATCCAACTGTGGGAGGAGGCCAGTCATAAATGTCATTGAGTAAAGAAAGATACAAATGACGTTAACTTTTGCGCGACATTTTTCTCGACTAACTATCCTCAGTATGTTCAAAGAGGCTACCTCCGATGTGCCAGTTTAAAATCTCATTCATTTTCGCGCTAATAGCCACGGAAACTTCAGCCGCGCCGTAAAACGAGTTTCCGGGACATTCTCTTATTCACGTGTTGACACGAAGCTACGGCTCTTTTGGAGGGCTGTTTCAATTAAAAGTTCGAGAGGATTTTTTTTTTATCTCTTTCATCCACTTATATACGATGTCATCTCGCCGTGGTCGCAAGTTAATGAGTACGCTTAAGTATACCTACTACTCTTCCATTCTCTCCAGAAGCTCGATTCTCTGTGATTCTCAAAGATTCTCAGAAAAACAGACCGTCAAATATACCGATTATTTTACAAGATGTACTTTGCGTGACATAAATTTGAGAGAGCTAACTCTTCTTCTTCTTCTTCTTTCTCTTTTTCCGCGGAAGCAACTCCTTTTCACGGGAAATGGAAGTGTTCCTTATCGCGATTACGAGTCCATTTATCTCGCATAATATATATACGGTGAAGCGAGAGCGAAAAGTTTGCTGTAATCGTTAACATGATAATAGCACTGCGCGATCTGTATTTGAGTGAATTTTTTGCATTTAAGAAGAATTTCTCGTATTTCATAGCACGACCGGCTTATCCGTCTGTCTAGTGGAAATTCTGAAGAAGAAGGATACGATAACGGAATTTGCCGTACTTCATCTTTGCTCTCCTTTTTGATACGAAACGTGATCTCTAGTAACAGTAACACGACAGCGGTATCGTGTATCACGTCTTTTCTCTAGCGTGCACGACAAATTTTCGAGGGTATCGTTGAACGGAGATCAAACAGCGTGACATGCAAAATCGTCGATTTAATAGATCGTTTCAGATCGGTTCTATAAATATCCCGTGGGATGCAGGAATACCATACGACTTGACAATTTTTCACAACATTTTATTTCGTACTTTTGTCTCTTTTCAATCTTTATAATCTTTATATAAATTCCATGATGATCTTATCTTTACTTGTACTACTTAACGAGAATCGACGGTGACAATTTGAAAGTCGTTGTTAAAATACGAAAATTCGAATGCATGAACTGCAGGGAAATGATACACGCCAGTTTTATTCAGATAGAATGCGATTACCGAGATAATCCTAAAATCCAGTGTCCAGGCAAACATAATTACATATTACGGATTACAACGATTTGTGCGACAACTCTCGTGGCTTGGCGAGATAAAAGCGAGAAATTCTGACAACGGAAATACCGTTTGCGGTGGAAATGCACACGATACGTTCAGTAGCACACAACTTTGCGAAGAAAAGTGAAAAAGAAGAGACATAAAAAGAAGAGAAACGAAGAGAGAGAGAGAGAGAGAGAGAGGGAAATAGAAGAAAGAAAGAAATACAACACGGCCAGGGTCGTCGGTTATTCCAAATTTGATGTATGACAGCCGAGGCTGCCATTTGCTAGCTGTCATCCTTGCCACCCCCGATCCTCCTCTTCTAATATCATCGTCGTGGAAATGACAAACGGTCGAAAGTAGAAAGATAACAAGGTAGCTTTTGGAGAGGGAATGAGCCCTCGAGATGCGTCTCGTTGAATTGCGATACTTTCACAGTAGAAACGATTTTTGGCTTCAATCGCACATCAACTTCTTACATTTGCCGTTACTTGAACGTGGATTTAATATCTTACCCTCGTAGAGTCGTAGCGCAAAACTCGATAAGTCCATTTCCAACGATTCTTCGGTGTGTACAAAGTACGCATGAGAGATGAGAATACATTTAGAAATAACAATACATATAATTTTTTTCGTTTTTGCTGTCTTGTACAGGCTGTTATTATAATACATTAGCTTCTTGATGACATGTGATTTTTTTTGGTTCAACAGTCTGGTCCCTTTTATTTCTCTTAATATAGCGTTGATCTGTGCAAGGGGCATGCGATAGCGAAAATTTAGCAGTTGAGCGAAATAGTGATCGACAGATTCGATAAGTCAATAATTGTAAGTCGTATATTTTAGGCAGTATGACAGTCGATAATTCTGACGTGACTCTGAATTTTTAGTATTTTTCTTTCAAGTTGTTTTGTTGAGATATTCTATTCAAGTACTTTAGGCAGTCCTGTTCACCTAGAAAAATTGCTATAATATATTAACAGGATTTTACATGAGGCACTTTTATAAAACCTCTTACTTTAATGAGAAAAATGTAACTTACATAATATATATGATTCGTTTCGCTCAACGACTTAATTAAGAAGGAAAATTAAGGAGAGAGGAGAAAAGACATTCGGAAGAATTGGCAGATTACGCGAGTTACACGAGTTACGCGCTGCTCAATGCTTGTTCACGCAACATATCAATGTTCGTGAGGAAGAGAGAGAGAGAGAGAGAGAGAGAGAGGGAGAGAGAAAGAGAGAGAGCTGTCGATTACTCCGAGTGCACGGAATTACTTACGGCATCCGATCGACAATTAGAGATCTCTTTTTACATGTTCATTGCGTTGCACGGAGAGCGCCGTCACGGCTTTTGGCAGCGCACTCGTTTAATGAGATGAATGCGCCTTTTGGAGCTAATTAGCGGAGATTACGAGAGAGAGATGATGAATCGATATCCGATTTCCGTTTCTGCAATTCGCTCTTTTCTGTAATAATATGATAAATGTGTATTTCTATTCCTAAGGCAGCGCTCCGTGTTCCGTCGTGTATTAAAAGCACTAGTATTTGCGGCAAAGCGTTTTACATATAAATTATAATGAGTTAGAAGAGAAACGTTGGTCTATATCATTTTACAGTGAAGTACTATGAATTGCATGCAGTAACAAGCTTTTTCGGAAAATATCAGCAACGTAAGTCAATATAAATGTCTAAATTAAATGACGATACTGCGAAAGCGAAGAAGCGTCAAAGCGGATTTAAAAAATTTCTCGATAAACAATTATTCTAATTGTTATACAAAGATCGTAATCTCTATTTTGCTTTCGCGTGCCAACGACACAACTGAGTATGAATTTTTACAAAATAATTTTGAAAGAAAAACTCTTCTGTGTATTAATTGGAGTCTAATATTGCAAATTTTAATGAAAACGATCTCTCGAGTGAAGTTGACTACGATAACATTTTCGTAAAATTTTTGATATTATGTAACGCGAATTAAAAAAAGTTATTTGCTATTTTTTTAAATATATAAATATAGAATGAAGAAAAGATTGTTTAGTCTGATAACACGATCATATCAATAAATATTTATGCACAACGGAACACGAAGATTGATAAGATTACACCAATCAATTCTTGAAAAATGATCTTTGAGATACCTTCTAAGGCAGTATTTGCAGCCAAAAGAGTTTAGCATCGTTTCACGACGACAGTAAGTACGGTGGTAGTAACATCATTGTTAAGTCATCTTTGTCTTATGTACAGTTTAGAAAGTTTATTTGCCTCGTCAAATACACCTTCTAAATCGGATGACTTCTGGCACACTTCTAACTCGTTATCGATTTTTTATACTCATGCAGCAGCTGTAATATTACAATAATAATTGCTGTATTAACACTAATTTACCAGCTTTGTGTGTGACTTGTCATTATTATGAGTATTGTTAACTCCATATTGTTAACTCCATCAATATCAGTGCGCGCGGATTTTCGACGTGTTTGTTAGGGCGTTTGAACAATTATTTACAATAATAAAACACTTTTATTCCATGTGACAACTCTACTCTACTCTACTCTATTCTATGTACGTTCCATTCAACTAACAAGGGCAAAACTTTAAACTCATTCAGCACAAAACGTGTGTATTATGGATATATGGTTAGCTAAGCTAATGACAATCCGTACGTCCGTCGAAAGAAAATTGTCCAGGTATACGAACGTGTGTGTGTTTTCTGGCTTTATACTTTGGTGGAAACTAATTACCTGAGGTCGTTGCCCCTGGATCTTCTCATGCCGCGCGGCGGATGTCGCGGTGGTGGCGTGCACCTGCAGTCACAGTGCATCACACACAGCGCGACGCTGGTCGCGAGAGTCACTACGAAAGGCGCCGCGAAGAAGTGCATGATGGTAGCGACCTGTGCCTCGCGATTATAGTTCGCCATCACTATGCTACCGTTCACCCGGCTATAATGGCAAGGAAACTTCGCACCTTCGTAACCCAACTCGCGGGTGAAGTTCTTGCAATCGACTACCGGCGGATATCCGCAACCCTTGATGTTCACCAGCAGCACCGCCTCGACATCCCCCGGAGAGGACACTGCTCGACAAAAAGATATTTTACAGCGGAGATTAGCGCCGGAGAGATTTGAATTTTTGTGCTTGCCAAGCACGCATGCAATCCGCAACGTTGATCTACCAAATCGAAATGTATTCCAATTTCACTTCGATTTCCCAGGCGGTACATTCTATTTTATAGTCAAATAGCAATAGAGAAAGAAGTAGCGATATCCATTACCCCTTTTCGAATTTTATACAATAGATTCCGTCCGTTATGTCTTGAATTTTACGTTCGGGACGGTGACATAAATCGTATAGACTATTTCACGTTCAACAATGTTATGTTTCGAAACAAAAATTATAGTATGGTATTTCAGATTTTCTATCTCGTACTTTAATCTTCCTACCTCTTTCTCTACTACTTCAGCTCTCTTTTTGCCAATCCGATTTAACGTCCAATTTATTTTATCGCCAATTATCATTCTCGCAATTACATTAGCTTATACGAAAAATATGAAAAAAATAGGAAAACGCTAGGGAACACTGCGGCTTAGTGATCCTACCGGCAGTGACGGTGCCCAGATCAGTCGTGGTATTCGCGGTGATGTTTCTACCGCCGGTGTCGTTCTTCATACTGGTGTTACTCCACGGCGTGTACGTGACGTATATGTGGGTGCAACTGTACACATCACTGGTACATCCCTCGCGGCACGAGCTCCATGTGCAGTTGAAGAGACCAGCAAGGTCCTCGCGCCGCGAGGTTGTGCAGATCACCGGCTCCGGCGAGAAGTCCGCCGCTAAGGTGCTGATGGCCGGGTCGACGTAGAGCGGCACCAGGAAGAGGAGTGCCGCGCCGCCTGAAGTGGCGACGAAGGCCAGCGCCGATGTTGCGTAGAAATTAAACCGCTGACGGCAGGTACGCCGTGGCGGTCGGCGCCGCGACGCGCCGAACCCGAGCTCCAACAGCTTGCGACGACGTAGCTCCCGCTCGTGGAAGTCGTGCTCGCCGCCGCCGCTGTCCCGACCTTGATGTCCCCGATCGTAATCGCTCTGGCACTGGCTGCAGCTCGCCTCCAGCAGGAGTTCGGAGCTGCTTCCGCGCATCACCCGGGACGGCTCTCTCGTAATCGAGACGACGCTACGCGGCTAAGCTCCTTCTACGGCTTCTTCTTCTTCTTCTTCTTCTTCTTCTTCGGGTGGTGCTGGCTGCTGCTCGATGCTCGATTCTGCGACGATTCATCGAGCGCGCCGATCTACAGACCGATCATCGCTTCGTTAGACGTGACTTATTAGGGGAGGGAAAGGGGTTATTGATCCTCCAGGATCAACTGTCGAGCAGACATGCATTGATCATCGGTTTCCGCGTGGACGATCTGTCCGGCAGGGTATCAGAGATCAAGTGATCAACTTGATTGCGATTCCGTCTTTCGCTAGGAAGCATTGAGCAAGGCCGTTTCCTAACTCGTTTGCGTTTCGAAATTCGATGTATAATCGTCAGGTAACTATGTAGACCGATGGGGATTTCATCGAACGATATGAGTTGCTCGATACAAAAAATTAGGATATAATTTACGCCGAAGGTGCAACTTGCGTTATTCTTACTCTCAATCGACGGTTATCTCGTGTTATTGTTTCACTGATTTACGTTCTGTCGTCGCGGATCTCCTTTCGAAATCCCGAGGGGCATCATGAAGATCTTGCGATCGATGCTGCGCGCTTCGCAAAGTTCCAAGCACGCTATCTCGCGATGGCCTTGGCTCGACATTACGCGAAACAGGATTCGAATGAATTTGATTACCGCCGCGTCAGCATCTTCTCAAGTTACTCGAGTGGGCACTTGTAAATTTCGGCATCGTGTGTAGATAGGCCACGTACTACGGTATCTCTCCTTGATTCACCCCCTTGACTTTTCAGCCGTGGAAAGTCCCTGCTTTATCACTATACATAACGACCTTGCACACTTTAAGGTTCCTTTGGGTTATCAAATTGAGTCGATCGATCACGACCTTTCAGCTGCTGCCGTTTTGCAGGAAATCGTGCATTTCGATAATGCGCGCGCGTAGCAGCCCCGCGCACATATATGAAAAATCGTCGAGAAGGCTGGTGATCCTCACACGCGTTAGAAAAGTCGCGTGCTATTTTCGAAATTGTTAATCTGTTGATCCCAAGTTAGGCCTGTCGTTCGTTTTCGTTTATTAAGTTTTTTTTTCTTTTTTTTTATATATATCGGTAAGGCGCACGTTGTGATATTTGAACGACGGATATCGAGTCAAAGGAATTCGATATCGCGTATGTTAAACTTACATGACAAGCAGATCGACGTGACACGATTGTTTCTATCCTCTACCTAATGATTCACCAGCTTTAAGACTGACTGAGTAAATTATGCTAAAGGAAGCCACAATTGTCAACATTTTCTTCGCTAAAGAAGGCGCTTTTCATCCGAGATGTTGGCTATTACTATCGTCAGGCATTCGCAATCAACAACGGTCGAGACACTTGACGATTTGCCACGCGCTCCAGATCGATCCACCGAGGTGTGTGTGTCTCTACCGTAAGAATAAAATACTTGGCGCACTCTTGGAGATTCGAGATCCGTGCGAGCCTCCGCCGGTGAGCCTCCTGATAGCGTCTTAACGCGATCTACCTGTCGTCCCACCTGGCTCCTGCGCCGAAGTATCATTCGCGGTAACACTGAACGGGTCTGCCTTAACACCAGCTCATATCCGCAACTGGTTGCCGAATTCTTGGCATCGACATCGGTTGTGCCGCGATCCCGAAATTCCCGTCGCACGCGCGACTCCTCGTCGTGGTACCAATAATCGATCCGCCGCTGTCGATCCTTCCTGAATACATAGAACACACACACATACACACGCACACATACACCGGTCGCACCACGACTGGATCACGATGATCCTGTTGATCCTACGATCTTAGAAGAAGAATGGTGTCGCGATGAAGGCGCAACGGACCGGGGGACCAGGACAGATGTTCGCGGGGCCTCCTCCTCCTCCTCCTCCTCACGCACGTACGAGCACCAGCGGCGTTCCTGGCGAATGCCGTCCGCCTCGCGGATCGCGGGTTAAAGCGTGACTATTCGACCACCTCGGCGAGGAGTCCTCGACAGGACAGGCCGTGGTCCGAAGCGACAGGGCGGGGTTCCAGGCGCGCATGAGCGACGGGTACAACCCCTCGCCCTCGTACCCCGTCGTGCCACCCCCGCGATGCATTCTCCTTGTTTACGCTTCTGCCTGTCCCGCCTTGCTTCTTCTACGGGATGTCCCGAAGCCACCGTGTGATATTTTAGCAGCGATCGAAACTCATTGACACACTGATGTCAATTTCTCGAGACGAGATATAATTTCGCGAGAACGACTCCCGCATTTTTATCAGAAAATGCATTTATTGCGTTTACAGGAAAGAAAAATGCAAGAGAAGTTACTTGATTGTGTATATTATCATTATATTCGTTTGAAACGTCGAGTTTTAGGGATAAGTTCGAAAAAAAAAAAACATTGAAACTTTACGTAAAAATTCTGAAAATATTTAAATATTTTAAAGAGAAAAAGTAGGAAAATATATAACTGAATTTAAAATGTTAAAAGTTGATTCAGAATTAAAAGCTTAAAACATTGAATTAGGAAATATTTTCTAAATTAAATTAAGCGGATTAAATTTCATTTAATTATGTTTAATTCATAAAAAGTGAATTTATTCTCAAACGCTTGTAGCCTATTTTTAAAAGATATTTTAATAATTATTTTAAAAAGAGGTTTTTTTCCCAAACAAATGGGAAGTCTTCAAAATATTACCCGATAGATCTGGGACACTACGTATATGTATGTCGCGAGCAAGCAAGACTTTAACGCGCATTCTGTCTTTTCCCTCTTTTGATGTCCTATATATTATCATCTTTTAATTATGTTCCGTAATGAAGCCAATTTTTTAATCGTGGAGTTTTAACATTTTCGCATCACAGCGTGTGAATAGATGTTTTAAGGCTCTTTAAAAATTGTTTGACGGACGGAAGTTTAATATGGTTGACGATCGAATTTGCATAAATTAAGAGGCAATCCATGACACAAAAACCATTAAAGTTGAAATGAATTTTTTAAATATTTTTAATTTAACAAGAAAATATAATGACAATTCAGCATTATAAAATCAGTTCTTGAAGGATTTTGTAAGTCGTTGGGATGAATTAAAATACCCGCTTCCATCAATCATAATTTAAAATTAAAATGGAAACCCAAGCGGAGCAAAAAATCATCATGACATCAAAATGGCGTCCGAATAACTCCAAAATGACTATTAAAAATCACTTTTCGATCAGTTACGATTCTTTTAATGTTATTTTTACGTTATTGTAACTTGTTGTTTTGCTTGGAAAAGAACCATTACACAGTCTTATTGTTGGTGGTCTATCGATCTCGTCTGTCTCCACTTTTATTTACGGGCCTCCTGAAAGTAAACTCCTACGTGCAGAGTCTACATTTGCTCTAAAGTAGATTTTATTGCGCACTATATGATGTTATATACTGATAGTTTCCAAAATCATAGCAGTAAATGAGGCTGGGACGAGCGATCTACTTCTCTCCAGAGAGTCGTCCTAATTGTTACGTGTATGTCATGGCAACAACATGATCCTCGCAAGAGCATACCGGCCCTAATGATCAGCTGACGAGCGCGGCGTTGTTACCGATCGTCCTAGATCGTCCAAGCTACGATACTCTAATTCGCCACTTGAATCGCGATACGAATATCCGACGACCACTCGAGAATTTATTATAACGCTTAGCCCGCGCGTGCTTCTCTGCACAGATTGTGAGATCGGATCGCGCTTCCGTTCACGGCCGAACCTCCGGTGATTTAGGTGACAGGTCGGAAACATTAGGTCACACCTATCATCGACTGATAGCGACGACTCCGAGGAACGCGTGTCAGCATACTTATCGAAGTTCACGCTGGGTACCCACGTCCTACGTTGATTGATGTGTATGCCGTAAGTTCTTAAAGTTGCAATAAACTTGAGCTCAAGCTTCTCAAGTTACCAAAGTTTTCAGCAAATTAGTTTTTACACATAATTTTCCGCAGTACGGTATTACGAGCAGTAATTTTTTTATTCTTCTATGTTATACTGTACATACTTCGAATATATGTATAATTAATAATGATTTTTATAATGGTGTATATATGTCACAGACAAAGTGTTGACTGATTGTGAGTAACGTATACAGTTACTATAGTTTGCTGTAATCAATGTATGCATTTATCAACAAACTTAGCACTTTGACTGTGCCGTAATATGTTAAAAAAATTTACTAAATTTTAATAAATATTTGTTTAAATTGTATTAACTAAACGTTTATTTACAATAAATTAATATTTATCAATTAAAAAATAATACTTAAATCATAAATTAATGATTTTTGTATTAAATAAATATGTTTATATTTAGTAAATATTTAGTTAACATTATTTAAACACGCAAATATTTATTAAAACTTAATACATTTTTTCAATATAATATATCGTAGTGGATTTTAAGAAATGAAGATATCTTTTTTTATAAAATGTGCATATTATATTTTGGAAAATATGTTTTCTTAATTAGGTAAATATTATTTGTATAAATTAACTACATTTAATTTTTATCCTATTATATAGTACGTACATGAAAAAATATAATACTATGAATAATATATGTATATACAGGATGTCCTAAGTAATGTTAAAAGATTTTAAGGAATGAATCTCTCGTCTCACACACACACACAGACACACACACACACACACACAAATTCGGGATGAAAATTTTATATGAAGTTTGACTATATGTTGATATCAATGAAATGGCTTAGTTTCGAAGATATATGGTATCAAGTTGAAAAAAAATTTCAAAATTCATTCGGGTTATTTTGATGAAACTTCGTTTAAAAGGCATGACGCATCTCATCTTTTGAAACTATTTTTTTTATTTAATCTAGGACGGATTCAAGGATAAGCGAATACGCTTATTTACGAAAAGAATTGAAATTTCACTAAGTTTTCTTATGTTTGAAATTTTTTTTATAATAAATAGGATAAATCGGCAGAAAAAAGATTATCGATAGAATATGCCATTTCTGAGATCATTATCTTTTAATCAAATAAAATTTTGCAATGTATAACAAATTTAAATTTATTTTTTGTTGGAAATGACTCATTTTATCGAAAATATTAAAGAGACTTACAAAATTTAATTAAAATATATAAATATATTCCGAATGGTTTCCGAAATTTTTGGAAAACACGCTTTTTTTTTAACTTTGAAATCATATATCTTTAAAACTAAGTTGTTTTAGATTGGTCATACGAAGTTTTCGTCTTGAATTTGTGTGAGAAATCACTTTTAAAATCTTTTAGCATATACTTTGGACACACTCTGTATACGTAGAATAAAGTATTTAAAAAAACATTTCAAAAAAAAATGTTTCAGACGAAAGTTGTATTGTCTCAAGAAAGAATAATGATAATGAAATTATTGTAAATTTTTGAAAAAATTAATTTTTTAAGATTACAAAAAGATCTTCACTGTTATTTTTAATGGAATTATATAATTTTTTTTAACTTAATACGTTTCTCTAATTATTCTATATATAAAAGTATTGAAGTAGAGTTACTAAAAAATCGGGAATTGAGCAGAAAAATTCTCGAATCTCTAGAATCCAAGGCAGAGCATTGTAGACGATTTCATCTATCTGAAGTGAATAATATTATGCAAAGATGCAAGCTGCATTTCTGAGATTAAACAAAGAATGGCCAAAGATGTCGATGACTGTAAACTTGAGAGCATCTGGAGGGATCAGAGAGTCTCTGGCAGGACAGAAATCTGCCTTGATCTTTCCTATATTTTTCTGCGAAGTGGGGACTTATTACGACTATTCGAGCAAGAGAGAGAAAGGATCAACGCGTTTGAAATGTGGTGTTGGGCGAATGCTACGGATTTCATGGTCCGTCAGATGTACCAATGACGTATTCATCTTTTCGGAGCTTGGAATAAAAGATCGAATATCCAGTGTATGCTACAAACGCATACTATATTCCACTTCAACCACATAACTAGACGCGAAGACAGTCTTGAAAAATTGATAATCATTGGCAATACTAAAGAAAAAAGAGCACGAGGCCCATTCTCAACTAAATGGACAGATCAACTAAAAGAAAATAACTTTTCCAGTATGATGAGGATAGCCATGGACAGAAACCGATGGAAACAATTTATACGCTGCTAAGTGGTTGCATAATTGGAGATTTCAGTCATGAAGAACCGACGAGAGAGAAAGAGAGAGAGAGAGAGAGAGAGAGAGAGAGAGAGAGAGAGAGATAAAAAATAAATATTTTACAAGATATTTTATATTTCATGTCAAAATGTACCAGAATAAAGTATAAAATATATCTTAAACTGTATTGATTGTTTAATAATCATATATGGGAGCTTTCAAGCAGAGGCACAAATCGACACAAGAGTCATTCCGTCTTTGTTTCTTATTGATTATTGAACAAGAACAGAATGACTCTTGTGTCAATTTGTGTCTCTTGCTGGAAAGCTTCCATTATGTACAACTGTTATACTTGAATACTTTTATGCATAGAATAATGAGATAAATCAATTGATATAAAGAAAACGCATAGTTGCTTATAAAGAAATTATGTAATTTGCAATATATAATACACAGATCCTTTTTGAAAAACACCTATATGTCTTCTTTATACCAATTGATTCATTTCATATTATTTTATGCATAAAAGTATTAAGGTATTATGTAATCATCAAAAAATAGTGTTTACAATCGAAATATTTTATATTTTACATCAAAATGTGCACATCAAAATGAAGTACAAATAAAACAGCTCTTGAATTTTTGAGTTTTTGATACCTTTATCTTAATATTTTTATATACAGAACAATTAGAAGAATATATTATTATATTAAAAGAATTATATAATTCCATTTAAAAAATAGAGATGACTTTTTGTAATCTTAAAAAAATCGATTTTGAAAATTCGATTTACCATTATTTATCCTCCTTTATACAACACAACTTTTATCTGGAACATTTTTTCCTAAAATCTTTTTTTTTCAAGATTTTTAATAGTAAATTTGGTTGGATACACTAGTGCATATTAAAGTTGTTGTACTGATTTAATCTGTGTAAAAGTAAAGTACAAATATTCGAACTAAGTATAAAATACAGATTTTACTTAATAGCACAATGAAATGTATTGAGGATTTCATAGTCTAATTCATTTTTACATTTATATTAAATATATATTATATTTTTAATTTGTGTAAGGCAATTTTAATATGTATCCAACTGAATTCGCTATAAGTGTTTCAATTTAAGTATCTTATTCTGTATATTAAATGTCCTATTTTAATTGCTCTATATAAATATTTTAAAACACGTAAGATACGAAAAAATGTTTTTATGTTGTTTTTTTTTTAATTATATAGAAACCAAAAGATATAGAAGCCAAAAAGATATAAAGGTCACCTCTTTTTCAAATGCAATTATTCATACAATTGCGTTTAATGCATGATTTTTTTTTTATATAATATGATTTCTCTAATTATTCTGCATATAAAGTATTAACGTAAAGATATTAAAAAACCAATAATCAAGTAATAATTTTGTATTTTATTCTGGCACATATTACTATAAAATATTAAATATATCGTAAACTATTAATTTTTTAATAATTGTACTTTTATGAACAGAATAATGAGATGAATCAATTAGTATAAAGAAAATATACAAGTATTTTATAAAAATTAAATATCTTTTTTATAAAGTACATATATATATTTTTTATACTATTTGATTCATTTTATTATTTTGTTCATAAATATGTGGTCAAATAATTTTTTATAATATAAACAACTGTATTTTCTCTTTACATTAATTGATTCATCTCATTATTTGTTCATAAGAATATTAAAGTTGTATTATAAAAAAATTAATAGTTTATGAGATATTTAATATTTCGTGTCAAGATATGCCAGAATAAAGTAGATAAATATCTCTATTATATCTCTAGTAGATATAAAATATTTCTATAGTAAACTATTAGTCTTATATGATCTCGCTACATTAATTATACTTTTATATGCAAAATAACTAGAAGAATTAAATTTTATTAAAAAATTACATAATTTCATTTAAAAAAGTAGACAAGATGATCTTTATGTCTTTTTAGCGTCTCCACCTATAGAAAAAAAACCAACATGACTAAAATACGTCCTCTTTGAAACAATTCCATTTTCATTTAAAATATTTTTTCATATTTTATGTATTTTTCGAGATATTATCTCGAGCAATTAAAATGAGACACTCTGTATATATAATCTTCCATTTTTTTAATATCTTTTTTTTTATTACAGCATAATCTCATGAGGAAATGGGGAATACGAATGAGAAATCAGTCGCCTGCAGCAGCCTCAATTGTTGCGCTGCTATTGGATGATCTAAAGGAATACACCAATAGCAGCGAGCGCTCACGGAATCACCCGGCAACAGTTGAGTCTGCCGATCTGCTGAATGCGACTATAGCACAAAGTCCCTAGTCAGCAACATATACTATAGAAAAAGTTGGCAGATCTGCTAGTTCAATCACCCCACCAATCGCCGCGCGGCACAGTCGATGTCCAACCAATCCTGCCGTTGCATCTCCCACAATGCATTGCGTCGCAACCGGCGAAGGGGAAATTGCCATGTTTAATTGCCACGACTCCTCGCAACGGCTCTCTTCTCGTCGTTGGACGCCATAGTGCGCGGTTGTGCGCAGTCGGCTCGTGCGTACGTGTGGTGAAGCAGCTTCAATCGAGAGAGGAGTAGGAGGTTTCGCTTGTGGTGTACGAGATACGGCGCTTCGATGGCCGGAACGGAGACTCCGAACGTGAAGTCTGAAGGAGGGAATGCGCCAGTTGAAAACAACAGCGAGAATATGCGTGATCGGAACCAAGCCGGTGGAGGCAGCGGAGGCGGCGGAGGCGGCGGAGTCAGCGGCGGTGGAGGCGGCAGCGGCAGCGGCGGCGGCGGCGGCGGTCGAGGCGGTGGAGGTCGTGGCCGAAAAGGCGGTACTCGTTTTTCGGGTGGCCGTGGAGGCAGCGGCGGCCCTGGTGGCGGCGGCAGGAACGATGGGGTAATTTTTTTTCCTTCTCAATTTTGCGAGATTTTCCTACAATCTGAAAGATCGCCTTTTACCCAGCAACGCCACGCCACGCCACGCCGTGTCGTGCCGGCGCCATTACGTCGGCAAGGCGCGGCGTAATTTATTTTCGATCACACGTATCTGCCCCGTCTCTCGATATATCTTTCGATCGTGGATTGCGAAATTTCAGGCGCGTTGCCGCAGGCGCATGGCGATTGTATAGATAGAATCTCGTGGCGCGTTTTCGACGTATTGAGAAGATCACGCTTCAAAATTTTCCCTACGCTATTCGCTTCTCACGATGGATTAAAATAGCTTTCGGAAGAATTGCTCCGTTTTCAATGGAGCCTCGCGGCGCTTTTATACGATGAAAGAGTTCCAATGACCACGATGACCACGTTCCAAATCTATTTTCTATATTATATTATTTGTTTCTCGTAGGATGAAATTAAGGTTTCACGCGTTGTAAGTTTCATTCTGGCTACATTCGATTGAATGCTAACGTGCTGTAAATTTTAGTCGTATCTATTTTCTGTATGTAAAAAGCAATAAAGATAGAATGAAACCTAAGGTTAAACCACAGACCTTTGCAAAATGCATAATACATAAGAAAATGAATCAATCAAAATTCTTAGTTATAATGTACGTCTAAACTCCAAACGCAATCTCCAGGAAAATTGTTCCGTTTTTAATAGGAGCGTAACCGTCAAGATTAAATCGTAAACCGGTGTGACCAGTGTATTTGTATGTCCCTATGTCGCCTATAATATCGCATTAGCATTGAAACTAAAAACGGTAGCCGGATATGAATCATATGATCTGTTCTTTTGTGACTGAACTACACTTCTGAAACTTAAAGTGAATGTTTAATGTTAGGCGAGAAAGTTTTAATACAATTTAATGCAAGAATAAAATACAGATCTGAATTCACTTCTACGCCGGTTGAGTAAATACAAGATGGCGCCTTTGCATACAAAATGGCGGTAGGCATTCTTAAATTCTCGCGTGCACGTGGCTCATAAAAAAATTGCTAAGAGATTAAGATGTTTTTTGATTATTATATGAATGGAAAATCATTAAATATATTTAAAAATGTATAACAATAATGCACATTTTAATAATTATGTTAGTTTGCATATTTAAGTTAAATAATTAATTAAATATGTGAGCGGTAAAATAGGACTTAAATTTATTTTAAAGTCATTATAGAGCATAAAATGTACAAAATTGCAAGAATATTTGAGGATGTAAAGGTAGTCTGAACAAAGTGATTTAATCCTTAATACATACCTTTGAGTCATTCATGTTCTGCGCATTTATTTTCTTTGAAATACTAAGAGCACTTGGTCAAATACCGGTCTTTTTTCTATTCCTAAAAAAAGTTTGGCATTTAGAGAACAAGTTTTGTGCGTATATAAATATATTTATGCTTTAACTGGCATAATTCCAAAGTTCACTTCTGGATCACGAATGACCCAATGTGTATACAGAGTGTACATTTTTGTAACTAAAAATTAGTTTTTTTTCTTCATTTTCAATTAATTCTCGGTTATATTGCGGGAATATTTCGCAAATTATTAAAAAAAGATTTTAACCCTAGAACATATTAGCTCTTAGTAAACACGATTTTTGACACCCTTGTACTAAATGTCGATAATGTTATATATTATGTTGTCTGTAATGTTATAAAGAACATTTTCCTAATAAGTTATAAGTTTTTCTTTAATACAATAGCAATAATAATATGCACTGTTTAAAATGTAAATGCAATATATCTTTAATTTGTAGCCATTCATGCATATTAAAAAAACATTTTCACATTACTCAATTTTTTGGACAGCTCACATTTGAACTTTTTTTTTTGTAATTTAGAATGTCAATTTTAAGATATTGAACCATATTTTTCTTTCAAACATTTTATTTTAGAGTTTCACATTTTTGTATGGAATAGTGTATTTTTTCTCATTTTGTCAAGTATATTTAGTTATAACAATTTATCTACAATTTGTTATGAATGTACAATTGTACAATACTTTAAAGATGTCAAAATATACGTAAAAATATTTAATAATTTTAATATATTTTTAAAGGTGACGAAAATTAATGTAGAATGAACAGGAATGACCGAACGTGTGTAGTAAGGGTACTTAAACTAAGATGTCTTAACTACTAAAAAAGGATTAAATTGGAAAAGATTCTGCACAAAATCATAGGATTTTTGGTGAAATTGGCTGAAACTTTAGTATGTTGTAGTTCTTGACTCATTAATCAAAAGTATTCATAGGCATAAAGTTTGAAAATGACTAGTTTTTTTATTATAGCCGTTTAAAGTTTATTTTATGCTTTGAAATTAAGTTTCTGTAATGAATAAAGAGATTTGAGATAACAATATGCCATCCACTCTCTCCATCCTCATCCTCACTCCCCACTCTCCTCCCAACCCCACACATACACCTGCACGCCTATTTTTATTATGAAAATAAAAATCTTTCTTATTACGCTTATGCGTGCGTGCATGCGTGTGGCGCGTGTATGTGTATGTATCAATGGTATTTTTATGATTTAATTTTTCGCCCGTCCTCAAAATTACCCAGAATAAACGTCGTGAACGTGATAGGCGTTTCATTCCTTTGGGGTTGATTTTCATGAGTCCCCCTACCTCTCGTTTGGGATGCACAAAAAAAATAAAAAGAAGAGGAAGCGCCTGATATAAAATTGCGCGCGTGGACGTATGTGTATGGGGGTGTAGGTGGGTGGTGAGGATGAAGTAAAGGAGGTTGGGGGAGTGAGGATGAGGGTGGTGAGAGTGGTGAGAGTGGATAGCATATTGGTATCTAAAATCTCTTCATTTATTATAAAAATTTGATTTTAAGGCATTAATAAAATAAAACTTTAAATGGCTATAACAAAAAAAAAATCATTTTCAAGCTTTGTGCCTGTGGGCATTTTTGATCAGAGTCAGAACTATATAAAAGAACTATATAATATAAATTTGAGACAATTTTATCGAGGGCCAAAATTCTATAATTTTGTGTGGGGTCCTTTTATAAAAATGAGTATTAGATATATATCATACATATGGAACAGTTCAATAAGGTTAATATTATATTTAACAATACGATGTTAAAATGGAAATATTCTTTATTATTTTTATTTTTAAAAATATGGTTAGTTATTGAAATAATTTTTATTCAGATTCTAAATTACTGCTGAACTTTTTGTATTACTTTCTAATATAATATAGAAATTACATAAATATATAAAAAATATAAATAAAGATCTCAATCTTAAAAACAATAATTAGAAATTTAAAACAAGGCTAATGAGAGTCTAACGCTGTTGTAAGAACGAAGAGTTAGGATGTAGATAATACTCAAGTTTTGGCGGTTGTCTTCATTTATTATATCGAAGTTTCGGCTCTCTTTGGAAAAATTATTTCTCGAATTAATGTTGTGTCAGTTTATCTTGACGTGTCAATTGATCTTGAATTGGTCAAAACGACACGTCAAAATAAACTGACACGACATTAATTCAAGGAACGATTTTTGTTAATTTATATCTCATGAAAATTGTGAATGTTTGTAAACTTTTTTGTTTTTCCATTGAGCATTGATTACTGCATTTCTGCCAATCTGCGAGTGACTTACATTCAACATGATATTGTAGTCTATTTTTTCGCTGAAGATGACTCAAAAGTCGAAATGTTCGATATATATATTATATATATAATAATACAGAAATATCTATAATTTTTTTATTTTGTTAAAAAATATATGTAATACATTCTTAACGGCTTGTATATGAAACAGTTATGATCTTTTTTACAGATGAAAATGAGTGATTCCATGGATGGAGGCCTAGATAATTCTGAAAGCATGGGTGGCGGAATGGGTGGTGGAATGGGTGGCGGAATGGGTGGCGGAATGGGTGGCGGAATGGGTGGTGGGATGGGTGGTGGAATGGGTGGCGGAATGGGTGGCGGCATGGGTGGCGGCATGGGTATGGGTATGGGTATGGGTCGCGGTGGTGCAATGCGAGGAGGTGGAAGAGGAGGTCGTGGCGGCGGTGACAGAAACATGGCCAATAGATCACAAGATGTAAGTTTACATTTTATATTCCTTGTGTCTTTTTCATAATAGCTATTGAAGTAGTACTTAACTTTACATCATTTTTAGGATCGATTGATGGAACGTGTCATGGCTGTCAGTGGACCCACTCATGAGCTTCCACCACAGGATACTACGGAAAAGAAGTTTAGTGGCCGAAATCGTTTGTACGTTGGAAATTTGACAAACGATGTGACCGAGGAAGAAATACAGACCATGTTCCAAAAATATGGAGAAATATCTGAGCTGTTTGTGAATAAAGAAAAAAGTTTTGCTTTTCTCAGATTGGTAATTATACGAACCATGAATTAATCAAACAATATTGTTATATCCACATTTCTTTGTGACACTAAGATGATTATATTAATTACCGTTTGATATGAAATGATAAAAATTTCTGGCTGTATATTTTGAAATGATTACACATTGCTATTACTAAGCTATTTTCTACCTTGCAACTTTAAATTAGAAAATGATTGTTTTTATTTTCTGTTTCAGGATTATAAAGCAAATGCTGATACGGCTAAGCGCGAACTAGATGGGTCAATGCGTAAAGGTCGTGCGCTGAAGGTACGCTTTGCTCCTCATTCATCGACGATAAAGGTAAAGAATCTAACGCCTTGGACATCCAATGAACTCCTTGAAAGAGCCTTTAGTGTCTTTGGCGAAATCGAGCGTGCAATAGTTAAAGTTGACGACAGAGGCAAAACCACTGGCGAAGGAATAGTTGAGTTTTGCCGGAAACCATCTGCTCAGTTAGCCCTGAGAAAGTGCACAGAGGGTTGTTATTTCATTACAGCGTAAGTTATCACAATTTTCAACAAATTTTTTAACAAATCCCCGACGCCACGCTTGTTTGATGTGTTCTAATCTACAAGTGCCTAATAAGAATTGTAGGGGTAGAAAAAAATATAGTTTCACTTAGGAAACATAGTCGATTAGTTCCATTAATCACTGTGTGCTGACACGTGAAACACAAGTTTATCATAAAAAGAAATATTTATATAAAAAGTGAAAGCATATACAAGTTGTAAGAAGTTTGTATTTCAGTTCCCTTCGACCAGTAGTTGTCGAGCCATTTGAACAACAAGATGATGTGGACGGTTATCCTGACAAGAGTTTACCACGCAAAAATCCGGAGTTCTTCAAAGCGCGTGAGATCGGGCCACGCTTTGCACAATTAGGTAGTTTCGAACATGAATACGGTACAAGATGGAAGCAATTGCATGAATTATACAAGCAGAAAGAAGAAGCACTCAAACGAGAAATGGCAATGGAAGAAGAGAAATTGGAAGCTCAAATGGAATTCGCTCGATATGAACACGAGACGGAGCTTCTGAGAGAACGTGTGTATTCTAATATTAATATATAAAGTGCCGTTTCTTTTCTTTATATAAATTATTATAAAAATAAAAAAATAATCTAATTATTTAGACTTAAAAATTTTTTTAAATTGCTGACGGAGAAATCTACGAGTTAAAACTAGATGTTAATTGCTAATACTTATCTATTTTTAATATCCAATCGATATAAACATATAATATACATTTCAACCTTCATATTCAGTTTAAAACATAAAAATAAAGAAAAATAAAAGGATCGTAATATCGATTACATAATCATTAAATATTTAAAAATTGAATATGTCGTTTTCAACAAATTTTGTAATAAATCCCCGATGCCACGCTTGTTTGATGTATTCTAATCTACAAGTGCCTAATAAGAATTGTAGGGGTAGAAAAAAATATATAGTTTCACTTAGGAAACATAGTTGATTAGTTCCATTAATCGCTGTGTGCTGACTTGTGAAACACAAGTTAACATAAAAAGAAATATTAAAAAAATGAAAGCATGAAGTTGAAGTAAATTATTATATCTTATTATATTATAGAACTGCGCATGCGTGAAGCGGATCGCGAAAGACAGAAGAGAGAATGGGAAATGAAAGAGCGACAAGCAGAAGAGCAGAGAACTCGCGAAGAAGAATTAAGACGGCGTCAACAAGAAGAAATGGCGATACGTATCAGAAGACAGGAAGAGGAATTGCATAGGCGTCAACAGGAAAACAATTTGTTCATGCAGGTCCGTTGAGTAATAAAATTGTTTAACTTTAAGATGTCTACTATTATATTTTTCTTGAAAGATTCGATATTTCAGTTAGCGTGTATATATACTTGTATCTTTCATATTCTAGGAACAAGCAATTCGCAGTGGTGGTGGTGGTGGTGGCGGCGGCAAAAGTTATGATTCTGTCAGTAGCAATGATCGTGATGGATATGGTCAACCTGATGGTAAGTAATAAGTTTTTATTTTTTTTTAGATATAAAAAAATGTATAAATTTAGAAAGAGCACAATATAGTTGCAATTTGTATTATATATATTATAGCCATATGCACTAAAAGCTTTTAAACTATATTAAATATAATTATAGCTCTATGCACAGGTTCTAAATTTGTCGAGTGTTGAACTATAGAATAACAATTTTTATCGTTGCTCATTTTTTCAGCATTGTCATAATTTACGTTCTGTATGTTTTAATGATATATTTTTATTATTTTTTTGCAGGTGGAAGCGGCATGCCAGTGGTAATGTATCTCTTTCTATTCTTTTACTATTTTCTTCTATACCATGTATTTACAGCATTAAGTTTTTTTCTTAAAACATTTGACTTTCTTTTCTATGACAGTTTTCTTTTTTCTTGTTGGGCGGTACAATTTTGAATATATCCTCATGCGCAAACCTTATTCAAATGAACGGAATACCATGCATGACGAAATGCAATTATTTCTTATGGTGTACAACACCATAAAATTAAATTAGGAGAGTTGATAAACTCTGATGTTATTCCCAATCGAGCATGCTCTTTAATATCAAGCAGAGTTCTAATGTCTGCAAAATCAGGATAATATTCAGTATCTTGCTTTTATGAAAATATATATACATTAATAAAAATTTATTTTGGATATTTATAACATGTGGAGGAATTAATGATGTGCATAATATTTAGACAATGAAAAATGACACTTCAATACTGCATGGAGTGTCAATATTAACACTGATTTTAGTTATAAATTTTAGATGATCTCCATTAACTAGCATTTTTGCAAAGAATAAAAAAACTAGCACCGTTTGCAAAGATCTGTAAACGATTGTATAGCATTTTTGCTAACTCATAAGTATATTTCTACTGACAAGATACGCTTTTATTTTGCATCTAATCTTGATGCACGGATATATTTGAATTTATATGATCTACTGTTCTCTTTACGAAGCGAAATCTCCTATCGGAAATACCAATAATTACGTTCAGCAAAAAAACTGATCAGTGAGCGCTCAGTGATTCTTAAATATGATTTATTCTTTTCTTTAGTTCTTCGTTGGATCTAAGTCTAGGAATTAATAATATTAAGAAAGCACTGAGCGCTTACTGATCAGTTGTCTCTACTGATCGCAGCATTGACTTCATACTGAAAGTTTTGCTCAAAACTTTCAACTTCTATTTTATACATATATAAATATGAACCAGCATGCGAATAGCGCAATATTGAAATTTTATCGCAACGTTGAAGCAAATTAATGAACTGTGATTTTCATAACAAGCATTCTACTTTCTGCTGCAAACATTGCAGTTAGAGATATCGGTCATAATAATCATCGTTAGTCGACTTTAACAAACAAATAAATTTTACTTAATAAGTTTTGCTATATACCGATTAAATTATGTATATATATATATATATATATATATATAT